GAGAGAGAGAGAGAGAGAGAGAGAGAGAGAGAGAGAGAGAGAGAGAGAGAGAGAGAGGTTTCTTCCCTCCAGCTTGTGCACATCTTTGTTTTCTTCCCTGTCCTGTTCTGTTTCTCATATGGCATTTACAGGACCCAAAAGATCGGACCCATCCAACCACCACATCCTGATGCTCTGCACTGGATCCAGCCCGGTGTGGTGGAGCTACTTTTCTTTCCTTGGAACCGGTGGTGAATTTCAAAATGATCCTTGGCCAACCGTTTTTGGTATTGCAAGTTTGCAACCCTGAACTTGTTTTATTTTTTGTAATCGTTATTTGAGAAAATGATAGTTCTCTTAAAAGTTAAAATTAAAAATTTCTGACACCATTTTCTGAGGCAGATCACAGATTCTGTATTGTCTGGACAACAGCCCAGATGTCTGGATTGTCCGCAAAGCTCATCTCACCACTTCCACCAGAAGAAGGCATCTGAGATGACGGCAAAACAGCAAGTTGAGAGTTCAGCTTACCTTGGATGCAACAACCGGATCGCTCCATTTCATTGACCCCAGTGGAAGTCGGGAGATGACTATGGCAACCGCATTCCCTCCTTCCACCTCCCCACTAAACCAGACACAGAGTAACTCTCCTGTACGGGGCACCACAAACAGTCACACATGCACACAAGCATACTTGCACATGCACACAAGCACGCATACAAATGAACAGGGAAGCAACGAAATATCCACATGCAGATATGCAAGCGTCAGACAAGGCCATCATACGAACTCAAAGATGGGACAAACGTGTGCAATGTTACACATAAATATTCTCTGAAATTGTGATATACGTTTAGGAGTCGCTGAGTGTGTAATGAACAAATAACCAAACAAAAAAACAAGTGGTGACAGGGATACTATGTTGATTGCTCAACCACTGAAACAGTTGTGCAATCACCACATCAGGATTCGGGGAGATATATTGCAATGATCCAACTCAATTTGAATCCGACTTTGCAATCAGGCTACCTCCCAAAGTCCACACCACTCGCAAAGCAAAGCAATGAGAGAGAGATCAGCAGAAACTCGAAGTTATTATTCCAAATTACAAAATTGATGCAATTGACTGAAATCAAATATCCGCGAGTATGGCTGCGAGGTCCAAACACTCTCAGGTATGTACTTCATATCTCTCTCTCTCTCTCTCTCTCTCTCTCTCTCTCTCTCTCTCTCTCTCTCTCTCTCTCTCTCTCTCTCTC